ACTAAAAACTAATTACAGTTTTATAGCAGATCGTTCAACTAGATCATTGCCAAAAAAACAGGTATTGCACATTAAAAATGAAGAGATGACGGTGTGCAATATATCACGCATCTGAATAGCTCGCCGCTTTGAYCCATAAATATAAGTTCAATTCGGCTCCCCTCATGTCCCAGGCAGGGCTGCGAGCCGTTCAGCACTCACGTCTGCAGCCGTCCAACCCCACAGGTCTCCCCGCTCCAAGTGTGCGTGAACCACCCAGCCAGAAGGAGCCTCATTATGTGCTGTGGAAGAGAGCGGGTTTGCAAAAAGGATCTGCCTTAATGCAAATACAGCCACTCTGGCCAGAACAGACAGACCTAAAGACCAAAACCAGATAAACAGATAGATAGACAGACAGAGAGCAGCAGAATGGGTATAGTAGTTACTAAAATGCCAATAAATCCACATATTTTCTGCAGTATGTATTTTAGCATAACAGCCATAGCAAATGACATGGAAAACGGTACTTCTTGCCTCCCCTGCTCTTTGCCATAAAGCTCTGATAACGCACTGCTGTAGAATATTTATAAAGCAAAGGCAAACATTTCTCAACGAGACCGTTTTTGAGTGGGAGACAAGTGGAAGTGATAGGTGGTCAAAGCAAACAATAGAGCACAACCGTTACTCAACGATGCTAAGTCAATCAGGGCAACCTCACAATTATTTTTAACAGATCAGAAGAGTTTAAAAGATCATATTAAATCTGAAGCTAAATGCATACTGCAATCTTCCTACRATCTGCAGTGGGAGTATTCTTTCCTCCGAAACCTGCCTGCTAATCCAGATCATTTATTAAAGACAGATACTTCCTAGCTGTAGAGTGTATCACATAACTTCTTGGCAAAGGTACCAGCATTTTTTTTTTTTAGTAACTGTTAAAATTCTTTGTGCAAGTTTAAATAGCTCCTTCAAGCAAACAAAGCAGCGTCGGGAATCGCAGGTTCTCTGCTGCGACGCGCACCGGGCTTACTCAGAGAGCTCATTTCCAACCATCCTCGCAACAGCGAACATCCATTTCACGTCGCGCATGGCTTTCGAGGATGTCTAACTGTCTGAAATACCTCAGAAGAGAGCTCACAAACTCCATCTCAGTAAACAAGCTATTCCCTTGGTAAAAGCTCTCAAGGAATTCAGCAGTATTTTAAAATAATACAGCAAAATGCACTAGCAAAAGAAGGGAAACAAGGGTTCAGAGGCGCCTGGGCTCCGAGCTCATCCTTTGTCAATGTATTTGGTGGTAATTTAGCAGTGTTGCAACCCCGCAGTCGGGAGCTCTGGCCTGATGGTTTAGGCTGAGGATTATTATCAAATAGTGCAGGGAAGGGGAGCTGAAGTGCCCTGCCCGGACGGCGCGTGGCCGCGGATGYGCTCCAGCGCTGCAGCCTCCCCACCTGCGTTCACACTTTTCCAAGCGACATCTGCCCGGGTCCCCCTCCCCGCCGACGTGTCACCTGACATCTGCAGCACGGGACCTTCACAATTTCAATTAAAAACTAAAAACAAAAGCCCACTAGAACTTAATTACTGGGTTTCCAGAGAATACTAATGAACATCTCAGTGACGGGGAAGCTGTTCAGGTTCAGTCACACGAGGCAAGGCGAGAGCCCATGACACCAGCACCGGGATTTTCAGTGCACCAGCTGCCCTGGTGCAGTCACTGCTCACTACCCTGCGCGCCAGCGCCAGCAGCACCTCTGTCCCTGGGTGCTGAGCTCAGGCCATGGCAGAGGAACGTGCGTCTGGGGGAAGAAAAGCCCCCTCCACATCCCATAGGACAGCCCGCGACAAGGAACCGCAGAACGAAATCACCCCTAGCACAATCAGTGTTTGGGTGAAAGGGATGGCCAGGTAGCACTGGTATCAAAATCAGACACAGACTGGGCATGCCCATTCCCAGGGCTGCTCCAGGCTCTCGCCAAGGYAGGAGGGTATTGCACATCCTAGACTAGGGCACGGATACCCCGATTAACGCTGTCCGCGCTCGTCTCCTTTACAAACCYCCAGCTGCACACGCTGCAAAGGGCATCCACACCCTTAGGAGAAAAACAGGTTAATTAGAAGGAGCCGAGGGGCCATTAGAGCAACTCAAAAAAGTTGTTTCCCGCAGGGATCTGGGTGTTAAGGGACTATTTGAAGTGACTCTCCTTAAAGGGCTTCAGACCGTGTCAGTCCCTGAGCGCAGCTCCGTGAAGCGGTGCCCTCCGCCTCCCCCTGGCACCGCAGCGGGGGGGACAGGCAGCGCGGAGCCCAGCGCGGCCGGGGAGGGACGTGGCCGCCCGCAGCGCCCGCACCATGTCGCCGGGCCGGGCAGAGCGCGCGGCAAGGCCGGCCCTCACCAAGCCAGCAAGCRCCGCAGCAGGGCTCGACTTCCCATGGCACCGGCGGCGAGGAGCTGCGGGCGGCGCTTGTGCTGCCGGGGGACGCGGCGCTCCTGCCCTGCGCCCGCGCCGCAGGGCGCAGGCTGCTCCACGGGCCGCATGTCCCCGCGCGCACCAGCCACCCGCAAGGGCTGCAGATTGCACGGCTTCAATAAAGCCCTCTCCTAAACAAAGCACCAAACAGCCAAGGGCAGCACAGCGTAAAGGTAAATTATTTCTTCTGACTGAAGAGCCCATTCTATCTTGCCTATGGCATCTTTATCACTTCCAACACCAGTTAAGGTAAATTCTCTGTGGGTCTCTTTGGATCGTCTCATGCAAAGAGCCAACCCTTGCAAAGCCTTCAAGTGACTGACGTGTAACACAAAATGAACGCGTCTATCCGCTGTTGTAAAAGTGGCTCGCTATTTTATGCAAAGCCCCTGAAATACTGAAACACATCCTTATATAGGAATAGTGATTAAATGGCTTTCCCTCCAAGTGAGGAACTGCTCGAAAAGCAGCGTTTTGGTTATCACGACCAGAAAGCAATTACTTATTTCACTAGCGGTTACTAAGAATAGCAGTGATCAAAGTGGATGTAGGAGTGCTGTTAAAGACACTAAAGAAGGCAACTCTCTGCGTGACACACACACACACAAAATAGACATAATTCTAAGCCAAATTACACTTTCAATAAATATATGCACCATGCACTGTTGGGGATTTTTTTTCCTTGAACACACGAAATTAAGACCTATGAAATAGACTTTTTTAATCCCCTTTTTAGCCCAAGGCGAGCGGGTGCGGCGGTTCCAGGCTGCACACACATACGTGTGAGCGAGGGCGTGCATGCATGGCCCGGGGAGGCTGTGTGTTGTGCAGAACGTATATATGTGTTCGAGTCTGCCAAGGTAGAAGTGACAGGAACTGTGATTTGTGCTAACTAGCTATTGATCCAGTCAGATCGAGATGTTGTGTACAAGAAACAATAAAAGAGAAGGGGCCAGGAAGGATGCTGTGTGCAACTCCATTTAAAAATGGAAAAGAAGGGCCCCAAACAAACCAATTTATGTCCTTGCCTGGGTGAAGCATGGAGAATGCTGATGGGCTTCCCAGAGTCTGCTGTGCATGCTAAACACTCCCGCCTCAACCAGCGCGCCCGAGCCGGGCATTAGCCACGAACAAAGGGAGCCACAGTGGGGGCGAGGATTCACGCTTCAGAAAGCCAAACTGCAAAGCCAACCAGAACCGGGCTGGGGGATCGCCGAGTTTCAAACCACCTTCGCCCCCCCTGGATTTTCCTAGCACCTTCCTTAGCTAAATTGCTAAACGCGGAGCGCTATAAAAGGCCACTCTTTGAGACCAGACACGACGAAAACAATTTTGAACTAGACTAATGGTAGTAAAATGCCAGCTTTGCAGGACACAAATAATGAGTTATACTGTGTAAAAGAGGGGTGTGCTCGCAGAGTACACCACAAAACTGCCTGTGTGCATGCACACGGTTCCTACCCGCACGTGCAGCTRTTGTAATATCCACACACACGAGCAGGCAGCTCAGAAAATACAGCTTTGATAAGATAAAATGGAACCGATTGAATTTATATTCATCCTTATGTTAAACAGCTTTTATAATAGAGTGTTTTCTATTAAAATATTTTTCCTGGGCTTTAGAGAATTATGATGCCCTCTGGATACATAAGGGATCAAAACCGAAAACTAATGCTGAAATTAAACATCTGTCAACTAAGCAAGTTTCATCCCAGCAGACCCGGATCTGATTTTAAATTTCCTTTCCGTTAAAGAAAGAAGAGCGAGAGCCCTTTAGCTCGGTACCGACGCTGCAAGTGCTTTAATGTGCACAGGAGAAGACATGGAAGTGCAGGAACTACACCGGCAAGATGCCTTTGAGGTTTGGGAGGATCTGTGTAAGAGTTTGGGGGAAAAAACGCTACGAGGCAGCGCAGGTCGGGGCTCTGTGGGAGCCCCTCTCAGAGCCTGCATGCCAGGGCTCTGTGCAGCCCCTCTCCCGGCACCCCACACCTAGGCCCAGTTCGGGGCTCTGCGGGAGCCCCTCTCGCAGCCTGCGTCGCTGCTCGCCAGGGCTCTGCGCAGCCCCCTCTCCTCCCCGCGTGCCTCCCTGCTGCCGGGGCTCTGCACGGCCCCTTTCTGGGCACCGCACATCTAAGCCCTGCTCAGGCTCTGCGGGAGCCCCTCTGTGGGCACCCCACACCTAGGCCCAGCTCAGGGCTCTGCGGGAGCCCCTCTCGCAGCCTGCGCCGCTGCCCGCCGGGGCTCTTGTGGCCCCTCCGCGCGGCCCAGCCCCGCTCTCCCCACACACGTCCGTTGCGCGGCCGCTCTCCGTGCGCAGCGCGCCGGCAGTGGAGGCGGCCGAGGGCAGGGCCCTCCCGGGGTGCAGGCAGCCTGGCCMTGGCCTGGTCCGGCCCGGCGCAGGGGGCTGCTCGAGCCACCCCTCCAGGCCCACRCGCGGTGCCGCCCGCACCCATAGCAGGCGGAGCGGAGCAGTGCGAGGCACTGTCCCGCAGACATCCCCCCCACCACCCCGGGGCAGCCCGCGGTGCCCTCCCGCGCCACATATACCTTCTTTGCTCGGGTTCGGGGGCTTGGGCTTCTCCCAGGGCGCCATGGGCTTGTCCTCGTCCTGCCCCTCCAGCAGGGCCTTCTCGCCAGGAAGGTACCAGGTGGAGTTGTGCTCTGCCATCAGGGAGTCCAGGTCGATGGTGCTCATGGCACCCTTGACGCCCTCCGAGCAGCAGCTGCCCAAGTCAGTGTCCCCGTTCTGCCCCGCGCAYTCCCCCTTTTTGCTCTTCAGCCCCAGGGGCTGGTCTTCCGAGATGCTGAACTGCTGCCGCTGGAGCTGGATCTGCGCCTGCAGGATCTCCAGCGGATGGATCTCATCCTGGGCCGAGGTGCTCGTGGGGGTCCGCACCTGCTCCATGCCCGGCGTGCCAGGGTGGGCGCCTGCCGTGCTGCTGAGCCCGTAGCTGTCGGGGGTCGAGGTAGACGTGCTGAGGAGGCCCAGGGCCAGAGGCTTCTGTCCGTTGAGGAGGCCGTGCTCCCCCCGGGGCAGCTTGGGTGAGCCACCCAGCAGTGGGCTGCGCGTGGGCTTGGACACGGYGTTGTCGGAGCTGGACGACACCTCGTCCTCGTTTCCATAGCTGGTGCTGACCTCCTCGGTGAAGTCCACATGTGGGGAGCCGCCGTCCGACTTGGTCACGCTCTGAATGCCGCTGTCCAGCGAGGACATGAGGTCGGGCTGCTCCGCCAGCAGCAGCTCACCGCCCTTGCCCCACGACGGCGAGGTCAGCGGCTTGTCGTGCGGGGTGCCCCCRCCGCGCTCAGCGCCCGCCGCCCCCGGCAGCCCTCCCGGGGGCCCTCCCGGCGGCGCCGGCCCCGGGCTCACTCCGGCACCGCCGCCCTCGGCGGCTGAGAACTTGTCAAAGAAGGTGCCAGGGCTGACGTGGCCACTGTCCCGTTTCCGCCGCCCGCGCCCCCGCCCGCCACCCGCCTTGCCCTCTCCACCGCCCGCCGGCTCCAGCGTGAAGCCGGGCGACAGGCTGCTCTCGGCGGGCAGCAGYGGTGCGGGGCCCGCGGCCTTGGCCCCGCCACCCCCACCCGCCACCGGCCCTGGCGGGAAGTAGTCGGGGGCCGTGGGCTGCGCATCAGGCTCAGCCTGGCTGAGCTTGCGCTTGGCCTCAGCCGGGCTCTTCTTGTTGAAGGTGACGTTGAGGTTGGGGGCGCCCAGGCTGGCGATCATGTTCTGGCAGGCGGTGGAGAGCGCGGCCAGGCAGCTCTGCCCGAAGACGTTGTCCTTGGCRGCCGGCTTGCTGAAGGAGCCCAGCGAGAGGGCACCCAGCTTACTGGCAGCAGGCCGTGGCGGCGCCGGTGGGGGCGGCGGGAACTCGGGCGGTGGCGGGTAGGCGCCCGGCGAGGCGCTGAGGGCGGGTGCCGCGCCGTGGGCCGCCGGCTGCCGCGTGGCCGCCGCGAAGGCGAAGCCGGGCTGGGCGGCGAAGTCGCTGGCGGCACGGCGCTCGGCTACGCTGCCGCCCGGCGACTGCAGCTGCGAGAGGCCACCCATGGCCGGGGCGAAGGGCGGGTGGACGCCGGGCGAGGGCAGGGCCTGTGCCGGACCCTCGCCCGCCATGCGCAGCGGCTCAGGCAGCCCCAGCGCCCCRGGGCCCGGCCGGAAGAGCATGGCACCGCCGGCACCCGGCTGCAGGCCCAGCTCATGYGGGGCAGCCTCGGCCGGCAGCCCTGCAGCCGCCATGCGGCGCGGCAGCAGCTCGCCAGGCGGCGGTGGCCCCGTGAACCAGGCGCTCTCGGGGGCCAGGTGCGGCACTGGCGGCTCGAAGCCGCGCGTGCCGCCGCCGTCGCCACCGCGCTCGAAGGCAGGCGGGGGCAGCCCGCCGGGCGGCCCCACCTCGCCGTGGTGGCCCAGCTGCTGTAGGCTGGGCGGCCGCAGGCGCTGCTGGCTGCGTGACGCCATCTGCTTCATGACCAGGGCTGCATTCTGGCGCTGCGCCAGCGCCGGGTGCTCAGGGCCGCCGTGTGGCAGCGGCGCCCCGAAGGCCTCGGGCGCCGGTGGGGTGAACTCGCCCGGCAGGCCGGCGTAGGCTGTGGGGGAGAGGTGGCTCTCCATGGCGGGGCCGTGCATGCCGCCGGCCCAGGCGGCGCAGCGCTCCGCGCCGGGGTTGCCGGGGAAGTCGAAGCGCGGCCTTTTGGCGACGCTCACGTAGGGGGCATCGAAGTGCTGCAGTCTTTGATTTGGTGGCTGCTGCGGAGGAGGGTGCTGCATATTAAACACGGGGTCGGTGTAGGGATGCATATTCCTGTTCTCCAGCCGGTGAATGGGGTATTCAAACTGTGCGTGCTGGTTCTGCATCATGGGCCCATTGTCCTGCAGGTTGGGGTTGGGAGCGTTGGCCTCGGCCGGCTGTTGCCTAGGGATGGCTGGCGGGCAGGAGCTCTGTCTGGCCAGCATGCCCGGCTGCGGCGGCGGCTGCTGCTGCATCAGAGGGTGCCTGGCGCTGCCACCCGGCTCCAGCCCGGCGGGCATCTTCCGCGCCCCCCCGAAGCGCTCGAAGAAGACGCCATGCTGCTGCGGTGGGTGCGCCTTGGCCACGGCCATACCTGGCGGCCGCGGCAGGGCAGGCGCCCCCGCAAAGTTGCCGCCCGCCGGCACCTGCCGCCCGCCGCCACCCCCGCCATAGTGTGGCAGCTGCTGCCCCTCGGGCTCCGACGGGGAGAACACAGGCAGCTCGAAGTGCCCGGCAGGGCCCTCGCCAGGGTAATTGTATTCCAGAGGGTCCACAGCGGCCTGCGCAGGCAGCCGCCGCTGCTCCAGGCCATGGGGCTCGGTGGTGCCAGCGGYGGGCAGCCCGTGGAAGGAGGCGGCGCGGTTGGGGGACTGGTCGAGGGGCAGGCAGGGCGCTGGCACGGCGTGGCTGGAGGCGCCCGCGCTGTGGTGCTGGAAGTCGGGGCGCTGCTGCCCGAAGCCCTCGGCGCCCTGGCTCTCGGCCATGTGCTCATAGCCGTCGGTGAAGGCCGTCTGCCCGCCATAGCCCAGGAGGCGGCCGCCGTGCACGCAAGAGGCGCCGCCGTCGGGCCCGAAGCCGCCGCCGAAGTGCGGGTGGTGCTGGTGGGGGTGGTGGGCGCCGCCGGGGCCGCCGTGCTGCTGCCCGCCGAAGAAGCCGTGCGCGGGCGGCTGCATGCCGGCGCCGTGCAGCTCGGCGCCGCGGCCSGCGAAGCCGTACGCCTCGCCGGGCACGCTCATGTTCATGGCGAGCAGCGGCGGCTCGCCCAGCGCCCCCAGCGCCGCGTCCGCGCCCGCCGCGCCGCCGCCGCCGCCGGGGAAGGCCGGCGCCTTGAAGTGCGTGCTCATGCTCAGTCCAGGCTGCCCGAAGCCGCGCTCGCCCTGCGCGCCGCCGCGGCTGCTCAGCTGCGGCTCGAACTGCTCCAGCGCGAACATGCTGCGCGCTTCACAGGGGCATGGCCGCCGCTCCGCGCCGCGCCGCGCTCCGTCCCGCGCCGCTCCGCTCCGCGCTCACATCCTGC